ACACACACACACAGTCTAACAGTCCTTGGTCATATATTCTTCCTTTGTAACAAAGGAGGGGAACAAGAATAGCTGTGTGCACATCCCAGTGTGCGACTGTGTGTGTGTGTGTGTGTGTGTGTGTGTTCCCATTCGAGCTGAAGGCCGATTCCTCCTCCGCTTTGCTGCCTGTCGCTGTCCTTGTGCTGAAACGTGCAGATTAGCAAACCGACTGCACGACCGGAACAACATCGACACCAACAGCCGCGCTGCATCGTTTCTGCTGCACATACACGCCTTTGTCGGTCTTCTTTTCCCACACGCACACGCGTGCACAGACACACACACACTTCGCGCTGATGAGGAGTCACAGAGCTGTGATTTGTCATCAGCCTCCACATGAAGACCTTGATCAGAGGACAGACCCATCACTTGCACTCTGATTATAAAGACCCAGGAGTGTGTGTGTGTGGGTGTGTGTGTGTGTGGGTGTGTGTTTGGGTATTTAATGGGGTAAAAGGAGGAGAAATTTACTTGAAATAATTCGCAAAGCTTGATGAATTTGTCCACAGTTAGGAGACGCTACATGAAACTTGTGCTGATTACTCACGTTAAGCTTGATGAAACTACCTGCAGTTCCTCTGACGTCCACCGGAGGCTCCACCAGCCAGTCCATGCCCACCATGTTAAACTAAACATGTTTACAGCCTGATACAGAAACTGCTTTTGGTGCCTGTTTACATTTTATTAAAACGTAAAGCTTGCATTATTGGGGGCGTGGCCTCTTTGACTGACAGGTGGATGGTGATGGCTGTAGCAGCTAGCTGCCTGCTAACTGTTTGTGCTGTTGGAGCATTTGGGACCATTTTTAATGACATCACCTGAAAATAACATGGCTGCTGTGAGGTTAAGATCAGTTCTGGGATTTTATGTGGATGTTACTGAGCAGTGATTAGCAGGTGTCTGAGCTGGATCCTGCAGGATCTGGATCTGGGTTTGTTTGTGATGTTTGCTTGAGGAGAATCTTTCCCAGTATGTATTTATGGACGTATGTCACCAAAGCTCATTGGTAAACATTCCAGGAAGTTGAGCCAAGGTCCAACTTCTTGACCAAACTTTCTGGCCAACAGAGCGACTGAACCAGTCTCATGACTTCCTGTGGAGTGAATTACAAGAAAACTACAGTTTTTTCTTCATGGTTTAGACCTTGATAAATGTTCTGCACGGTGCTGGCTGTGTGGATGTTGGTTATTTGCTGCCCTCTCCAGATGTTTGACTCCAGAGGTTTACTCTGTCCTGTGACTGCTGCTGACCTCAAATACAGGAGCTGAACTGCTGTAGTTATTGATATTATTGCAAGTAAAAATGAACACAGACAAATTTTTCCAAACCCGTTTAACAGAGAGATGCTAAACAGGTAAAAAATAATAAAACATGAAATGTTTGGATGATGATGTGAAGATAATATCAGAATGTTTAACCCTTTAAAGCC